GTCGCTTTCGCTCGATTCATTTTTGACCTGCGTCGCTGTCGTCATCTGCTGCACGCGAGTCGTCATCTGCTGTACGCGAGTCGTCATCTCTCTCGAGTCGTTGTTCAGCTCGTTTCAGCCTTGCCTCGGCGTCTTTGATCACACTCCGCTGACTTTGATGTCGCCATCATTCAGGTAAGTTGGCTTTCAAGCTGCGTGATCCGCCGCGATGGCGATTACTCGTTTCCATCCGGGAGCCGTGAAAATATTTTACGACCCCCTGGTTTCATCTTCGCTCTCCAGAACTCCGCGAAACGAGGAGTAAAGGCACAGCCAAACTGATTCCACTTTCTCTAATGGATACCAGCACTGAACGGCAGCGGCTTGCAAGTCCAGCCGACTTTCTTTAGCCACGAGACTCGCATCGGATTGCAGACTTCTGAAAGAATACATGGTCATCAGCATTCGAATCTGTACTTTGCGCAGGTTGAACAAGAACTTGAGTTCAGAATTATTTTCATTGAGCCGTGCGATCGGAGGAGCTCCTTGTTCACTCGCTCATTGTGTGGGCTCGCTGCTCCGTTTTATCGCTCTCTAGTCTATCACTCTCCAACTTACTCAGCGCTAAAGTGGTAGAGAGGCCAAGCAGCGCAATATCCCCTCGGAGAAGTGGTATTTCAGTTTCGCTCGCCATGACTGTCATCACCTATGTTTCCACAGCGCAACCATCGATTCCGCTCGGCTTGTTGTGAAAGGTTGCTTTCCTTGCATCGTACCTCTGTCATGGCATGCCAGGGAAGGCCAAGAAAGTGATTGCGACTCATTTCACGGCAGTTTGTGCCCAAATCAGCCCCTCAGAATTCCATCACGAAGTTTTTGTTCACGGAGGAAGTAAGTTTTGTAGGGGCTAGAGATTGAAATCATTACATCCATGCATCGCTTAGTAATCGCATGTTTGGAGAAGTAACGTTTCTCCGCGCTCTCCTTCGGGAGAGCGAACAGTTCAAAGTTAAAAATGGAGTGAAGGAGGGAATGGAGCGAGGGATGAGAGCGCACGGACGGCCAGTGTTGAGTCGCGACTGGCAGCTGTTCGGCTGGTTAGGTCACCCGGAGCTCTGTCAACATGGAGCTAATACTGGGCGAGATTGCGCTGACTGGTTGGCGCGGCTAACCAAGCTCGACGACGTGCACGGCCTCAATAAGGGAACTGCCACCCCAACACCGGTAACGCAACGGCTGCATAATGTTGAAGTTCGTCATGGCAATGTGTCATACAAGTAATGTCTTTTTCATGAACGTTCGAACCTTTTCAAAATTAATTGTCTGTGCATGGGCAAAATATTGATTTACCTATGTTGTTTAGTTTTCGACTACGTGGTTCTCGGCTGTAGTTTATTAGTAGAATTGTACTATTATGTATATTATACTCGTGTTGTGTCGCTTTGACACTATGTACCGTCAGTTGTCATGATTCCTGTATTCATCCATTTCCAGTTTTATTTGTTGAAGTAAATAGTTGACATATCGTGTGTTTTAGGACTGTCTTATTACATGTGTATTCCTTTTGACTATTCTGCAGTTGCACGCGTGTGTTCACCTCACTGGTCTCGCTCGTTCCTCATTTCTTTTGTTCATCTAGCTTATGCGAAGACTAGCCAAGCTTGCTTGGTGATGTCAACGCGAGCAAGCGTATAATGATAATTATGCATCCATGCAAATTGTTAGAGTGATGAACGAGAGAGCTTGGAAGCTCAGGGCCCTACGCTATGCTTTTTTGCCTTGATGACCTAAACAAAAAAAAGCATAGGGATGTTATAAATTCTTTAAAAAAATCCTTTTTTTAAACATAACCTGGGATTCGAACCCGCACTATCGCGCGCCCTGCATGCATCCCCCGATACACTTCGCATACATACTAATTCTTCCAAGTTGTTTCACATTGTGATCTTGCATTTGAAAGCCCTATTTGAATATGCATTGTGGCCAGCCGTCTTTGATGGCACGGTACGGTAGGGGATAGGTACGGGACAGGTACGATCGAGGGTAATACGACACCGTCTAGCTGCCCGCAATATTCAAATAGGGCTTTCAAACGCAAGATAATAACGTGAAGCAACTTGGAAGAATGGGTATGAATGCGAAGTGTATGGGGGAATGCATGTAGGGCGATAGTGTGGGTTCGAATCCCAGGATATGCCTGAAAAAAAATTGGAGAATTGAAAAATGTATAACATCCCTATGCTTTTTTGCCGTCAGATACGGATAGCGCCAGGCGTGACACAAACAAACAAAAAACACACAAACACCAAATTAAAGCTGTGTGGACCCTGGCTAGCGCAAGACGTTACGTCTTCTGCATAGCTACGGGAATAAAAAGTACTTCAAGTCCCACGCTCTGTTACATCACTACCTGTATCAGTGTATGCGCCACATCTAACACCATACTTCTACACTAACAGTTAGCAGCATATTCGTCAACATGCGCTCTTCTTATCTATGTGCTAAGCTTTTACCTTATTCCGCCGATCTTGCTGATTGGAAGCTGCGTTGCGTTGATCCGATAATTATAGTTCACTACTTAGATTAGTTTAGTTGTCTTATTCTGAGATTCAATGAATGCTGTTACAGTAGGAACTACCTGGAAAACCTCACTCTGTGAATTCGAGAAATATTCCGCGGGAAAGCACGAAAAATGACAACTCACTCACGTCGGTACTGTAACAGTTTACACTACAACTGCCAAGTTGTCACCTTCTCATTGTTCTCACCTTTGATACTCTCACACAGGCACAGTCTGAAGGATATTGACCAAGACGAGTTCTTTAACGAGGCCTGTGTTTCCCATATAGACCGAAGTCGAAGTGACTCACACATATGAGTAGCCCGACTGCTGCATGGACGATAAGTACTGCGAATGGTGATCATGCACCCTAAGTGGTTCCCCAGGCGAATTGAAAGTCAGCTCACCTGGGCCACGCAATGTTGCCAGTACAACTGCAGTAACAGAGCACAAGTTGGTTGTGTTTGGCCATCAGGAGGCCAGCACAAGGTATCTGTCCCGCGGGTCTGATTCCAGCGAGGGGCAATGCAGTACCTCGCAGCACAAGGGTAACATGATACCCCACGCCAACGTGCAGGCTGCATTGCATGAGTAGCGTGATACTTGTGGAGTGCTTTTCTGTTGTCTAGCAACGCGCTTCTGGTTTTCCTGGGGCCCCAAATGCACGTCGGGTGGCCCTGCGCATGACTGCACCTTGGAAATTTCAAGCCGGTTACAGGTCCTTCCCCGTTAGTAGATAATCTCTGGGCCATCAAAAAAGTAGCGATACTTATCTTGTAACAGGACTTGCAGCTAAAGGTGAGATAGGCACTTAACCTTACTTACCTGGGCAACCCTCAATACAACATAAATTATTCCCGTAGCTATGCAAAAGACGTTACTTCAGTAACGTCTGGCGCTAGCCAGGGTCCACACAGCTTTAATTCCGTGTTTGTTTTTGTATTGTATTGTATTTAAGTATTCCCCAAAGGCTGTTCGCCTGCCGAGGGGGTTTCCTGTTTTCGCTTGAGTGGTGAAATAAGTGGGATGGGAAAATTGATAAAAAAGAAGAGAAAAGCAGATGAAAAATTATAGCGTCAAGGTCAACTCTTTGCAAGAGTATAGATGCTGTAAAGTTCGCTTACGAAAAAGCTACTTAGAGAGAGAGAGAGAGAGTCTGTTGAGGTAAGGTGAGGCGGAAGGCAATTCCAGAACTTTCCAATTTTGTGAAAAAAGAGATTAGAGATTATGCGGCCATGGGTAATAAAAAAACAAGTTTATTGGGGCTTCGAGCACTGCATGATATAGTTATGTGGGGCTCGGCTAAGTAATCCGGGTGTTACTTTAGAATAATTTTGAACAGAACAACAACGGAAATGTACAAACGACGATAGGAAAGGGATTCAAGAGAGCATAGCTTATACAGGTTTTCTGGAAGGGAATGGGCATGAATTTTCAGGACGAGCATTTCACAATCATGTTCCTCCAGGGAGGGAATGCGCTCACATTGGATACTATCTCTAACCAGTACCGCGACTCCACCTCCACCCAGCTGGGACTAGGGCACGTTACAAGAGCATCTGTCGCTGCGGTATATCTTGTAGCCGGGAAAGACCAGACAGGCATCAGGCATTGTATCATTTAACCAGCTTTCTGTTATGCACAATATGTCCACATCGTTCTCTTCTAGGAGGGCTGTGATGTCGGCTTGTTTGCGCAAAATGCTCCGGCAGTTAACATTTCCAACTACTAGACACGGGCTATTTACTGGCAACTTTCTAGTTCGACACTGATGATGGTTAGGAGATCCCCTGTATCCTAGGCTGTTGAATCCGACAGGAGCTGTTGGACTTCTTGGTCAGAGATCGGTTGACCCTCCATGACAATAGCATCGAACGGCAGAGAGCACTTGATGCTCCCGCTCATTTTTTTCTATTTTCGTATTTTTCTGTTCGGCGCGCATGAGCAGTGCTGAAACCGAGACCCCTGCCCTGGTCGGTTTAGCTGCTCTTGCCCCGCCTCCACTGCTTCAGCTGTCATCACTATGTGCATCTCTGTGCGTGTTTGCCGGCATTTGCACCGTCATGGTTTGTGGTTATCTTGTAAAAAAGTGCTTATTTTAAAGGGGATTGCATTGTATTTCGTCTTCTTTACTTGAATAGATTTTTGGTTGGAGGAAAGCAAATCAGCACAGAAGCCATATAATTTTTTCGACTAGGCCTTGGCGCCACTAGAGCTATCCTTTAAAGTGCTATTTTGTCTATGCTCTGACCGCCAAATATGCTGTTGGCGCCACTAGCGCTATTTTTCAAGTGCTATTTTTGTCAATGCTCTGCCCGCCAAAAGTGACGGTCATAAGGACTTGCTTACTTCCGTGTTAATCACCATTCTATTCGACCTGAAGAGTAATGGAATGAAAGGCCTAGTCGAAAACATTATATGGCTTCTGTACTTCGTGTGTCTTCTTTACTTGCAGGGACATACACTATAATAACATCATCTCTTTACCCCCCGGAATTTTCAGTCAAAATATGCACTTAGATCGTATGTAAGTTTAGTAGAGGATAGAGAATTGAATGAATAGATCTATGCGAATTTTGAGAGTGATGAAGGAGAGAGCTTGAAAGCTCTCGCTACGCTTTTTTTGCCTGGGTCATCATGCATGTTATTCGAACTAATAGAAAACTTTAGCAATACTATTATCGACTCATTGTATTGCAAAAAGCATAATGAGGGCCCTGAGACTTCCAACTCTCTCGTACTAAGCTATGAAATTTCATTTTTTCCATCTTCTTTCTTCAATGCATAACCTGGGTTCGAACCTGCACTATCGCTCTGTGCTGCATGCATTCCCTTGATACATGTACAACTAACGTACACCTCCAACGCATTCTTTACGTCGCTACCACAGCAGCTGCAGAATCGTTTAATTAAAGGGGAACTTCCCCAAAAATCAAAACTTCATGGTCGTAGAGTTTCGGGCGCTGAGTCGAATGGTGAAGGTCCCACTTCGATCCAGCCAAGCGTTCTTGAGGTATACCAGTTTGAAATTGCCGTTTTCGGGTTCGTGCCATGACGTCAAAAATCCGTGACGTCATTGAGACTCGGTGATCCTTTGCCCAGATCCAGAGACACTGGTATTTCGCATCTTCTTTCTGTTTGTCCATGGAAGAAGAGGGTATTCGCTGTCATCATGGCTTCTTGCTGTGTTGTTGGTTGCTATAATCTTACTGGCAACCACCATGGGATAAACCTGCACCAATTTCCAAAGGATTGTGCTTGGCACAGGCTGAGCAGTGCACCATAGCAGCTATCAAGCCACATCAATATTTGCTTGACAATTTCAGGACTACAATGTAAATCCTTCGGGTGTTCCAGCAATTTGGCAGAGGAGAATATTCAGGAGGAATTATAATTATTATATGAGGCATCGGCGGCAAGAACCGGGGTCCTGGCGATTTTTCAAAATGCCAATATTTGCGAAAAACCGAACCGATGTCGTTTTTTAGTCACCGCGATCAAAGCGGAAAGACTTCTTGCGATATCGCTTTGAAAGTGCTTTCCTCTTGGTGGCTTCGCTATAATTTGTTGTCATTGCAGTTGTAGTTTATCCGCCGAGCACTTGGGACGTCCAGGTAGGCGTTTTCAGCCACCATGGAGGCGTTTGCGCTCTGGGTAGCGTCTGCAAATCATACGCTGAAAAGAGAGCGGAACAAATAATTTCTTGGCGGAACGATCCCGTCATGAATTCTTGATAGAGCACGAGCGACTAGAATATTTGGCAGCTGGATCTCCAGAGATACTCCGCTGCCTGTGATAGTCCCCCGCAAGAATAATCAGGTGAAAGTGAAGAGCTTTCGCTCAGATGACAAGCCATCAGCGGAGGCAGCACAGACGACGAGTTTGAGAGCTCCGTGACACGAAGTGGCGACGCGGACAGCAGCGCTGAGAGTGACGAACGAGGTTCAGTACTCCGTGGCGACTATTCACAGCTGGATAAGTTGGTGAGATACGGAGACAGCCCTGAATGAACTAAACCTTACTTGATTCAAGATATTTTGTGAGTAAAATTGTTGCAAGTATACATGCACGCTTGCGGTGCGCATGAAATTTGTCACAGTATTATATGTACCTACGAGCTGCTGTGCGTAGGAGAGCAAGACATGCTTGCTGGATGTATCTGGCTTGGCCCAGCATGCATATCTAGTCTTGTACTAAGTTGCAGATTCTTCCCAGCCATGTAAAAAGTCAGTTGCTTGGCTTCTTTCTGTCTGACAAGTCTGCATACAACACCAGACTTGCACATGACAGGGATTGAGTTTTCAAGTAACATTGCAGCAAGTGCAGGCAACAATGTTACTATAATATCAACTAGAGTACGCTGTGCTTCCCTGAAGACCTATAAATATACTAAATTGTTCTCAGTCACTCCATTAGAGCTAGCTGTAACTGCGTTCCATTTTGCCTTTTTGCTGACCATTTTTGTTGACCGTCACCCATCATTTCATTTCGGGCGTTCTTTTTACCATCTTGTAAGGTGCCCAGAGCTCCAAAATTTGGCCCATAGATCACTCATTTAGTGGACAGTTCAAAGCCATCAAAAACTCATTTTCGCCAAATATCACCTAACCCTGGTTTTTGCTGCCCATGCCTCATATTATTATGCACTCATCTGATGCGGACGCTGGTGGATGAAACTGTGGTGTATCCTTTTTCGCATGCCATACTGTGAAGTGTCAGCCGAAAAGCGGAGGTGAGTGCAAAAAATATAGCAAAAACACTAGCTATGTACTAGTAAGGAAAAAAATTGGAGGCGTATCCAATTCCGAAAGAAAAGGTGGCAGCACCAACGCAATCCACACAGTCAAGTAAGCAACTTTAGTAACCAGACGTTTTCGTTCCCTTCTCATCATGGGTAAGTTGGTTGGTTGGTTGGTTTATTTTAATTCGCACAATGAACGAGAACTAGGAGTCAAGCGAATATCAGGGGTGATGGGCTGGTCGAGGAGAGCTAGGGGGCGGGCTATTCTTAGCAACAATATGGCAGACAACTTATGCTAAACGTGTTCTGTCTTGCAATGGTCCGAACATCATCCGGCAGCAGGTTCCAGAGTGCAGATCTGCGACGGACGGCCTAAAAACGCCAGAGCGAGTGGAGGATGACTGACTGAGCAGACCACTGGACCTCTCATGATGGGTTCTCCTGCCAGCAGATCTGACGAACAGTGCAGATAACGTGGCACTAGGTTTCCCTTGAGGGCACCTCCAGACAAACACTACTAGCTTGCGGTTGCTGAGTTCGCCTATCCAGTACAAGCCATGCTGCACCAGCAGGGGATGCACGGTTGCGTAGGGTGGGTGGCCGTCGATAGTTCGGATAGCCCTGTTCTGTAGCAGACCCAGGCGATCAAGCTGGCGACCAAGGAGCGCGGGGAAGAAGGCGGTACTGCCATAGACTATGCCAGGGATGACAACAGCCTGGACGAAGAGACGCCGTGCAGATCGGGATAGGGAGCGACGGGCTCACCACAGCGCACCAATCTTACGGGTAGTCTTGCTGACAATTCGGTGGACTTGAGCGTCCCATGAAAGCTTTCTATCAAGTACAACACTGAGGTATGTGGTAGTCGATGCTGTTGGAACGGCTACTCCAGGTGGACAGTTACGATAGGGTTGTCCACCTGTCGGTGAGGTAGAAAGGTCACAGCTCGGCTTTTGGTAGGATTGAGGACAATAATTATTACAAGGCCTGTAGCCAAACAGCTAGGTTGGTGACTGCTGTCGTAAGCGTAGCTGAGACAGCCCCAACAGAACTCTGCAAGGAATACAATGCTATGTCATCCGCAAACTGGATGCTGGGTACAGGGTGCACTGCGGAGGGGTCGTCGCGGGTGTAAATGGAAAATAAAACAGGACCTAGCACAGATCCTTGTGGGACACCACACGTGCAGGGAGTGGCCTGACTCGTGGTTGGCCCAATGCAGACCATCTGCTCTCGCGCAGTTAGGTAGCTGGCAAACCAGGTGAGGGCCGATCCGCACACACCGACGTCAAACAGATCGACAATGAGCTGTCTTTGTCGAATGCTTTGGACATGTCCAATGTGCATAGTCTGGTCACATTTCACCTGTCCTTGGCAGCGAAGAGACTGTGAGTGAAAAGGCAGAGGGCATCCTCAGTGGAGTGGTGCTGATGGTAGGCAAATTGGGTATTAGGGAGGTACTGGTTGCTTCAAAGGTGGCGGAAAAGTTGGCATTGGACGATCTTCTCAAGTAGTTTAGAGATAATGGAGAGTAAAGAAACAGGTTGATAATTATTGGGGAGGGAGGGGTCGCCGGATTTGTACACAGGCACGACTGAAGCCAGTTTGAACGCTGAGGCCACTGCACTAGTCTGGAGCGAAGCACAGAACGAGAGAGCTTGGAAGCTCAGGGCCCTACGCTATGCTTTTTTGCCTTGATGACCTAGACAAAAAAAAGCATAGGGATGTTATAAATTCTTTAAAAAATCCTTTTTTTTTAAGACATAACCTGGGATTCGAACCCGCACTATGGCGCGCCCTGCATGCATCCCCCGATACACTTCGCATACATACTAATTCTTCCAAGTTGTTTCACATTGTGATCTTGCATTTGAAAGCCCTATTTGAATATGCATTGTGGCCAGCCGTCTTTGATGGCACGGTACGGTAGGGGATAGGTACGGGACAGGTACGATCGAGGGTAATACGACACCGTCTCCCGTACCGTACCGTACCATCAAACACAGCTGGCCACATACAGCTGCCCGCAATATTCAAATAGGGCTTTCAAACGCAAGATAATAACGTGAAGCAACTTGGAAGAATGGGTATGAATGCGAAGTGTATGGGGAATGCATGTAGGGCGACAGTGCGGGTTCGAATCCCAGGATATGCCTGAAAAAAAAATAGGAGAATTGAAAAATTTATAACATCCTATGCTTTTTTGCCGTCAGATACGGATAGCGCCAGGCGTGACACAAACAAACAAACACACAAACAAACACCAAATTAAAGCTGTGTGGACCCTGGCTAGCGCCAGACGTTACTGAAGTAACGTCTTCTGCATAGCTACGGGAATAAAACTGCAAGTGAATATGCCAGAACATCAGCACATTCCTTCAAAATGGATCCTGGAATTCCGTCACTGCCAGTTGCTTTTGAAGCATCAATCTATAACAGACACATGTAGACATCCGATGGAGCGATTGGATCGAAGCGGTGGAGCGAGTCCATGGTGGGAGGGCCACTTTGAACAGAGAGAACATTGGGACGTTCACGTTCCGTGACAATCCGATGGAAGGCCTCTGTTACGAACCACCAGTTCTCAAGTGGGAAAGGCCTTCTCATTTATGACATTGTATTTGTTGCAATGTTGTATCTCGACTCCGCCGTACTGCTGATGTTTGCTGCATGACGTACGCTATATGCGCTGTGTGCGGTTGCTGTATACACTGTCATTTCACTGTCATATAATGTGTATGTTTCTTGATCTACATGTATGCTGGTTTTGCATGCTATAAATAGCT